CCTTTAATTTCTCCACCTCGAAAAAAAAATTTTCTCCTTTTTTGGGAAACCCCCGCCGAAAGGGGGGTTGAAGTTTTTAGGGGTTGAAATTTACACCCCCCCCCCCCCCCCCACAGACCGTGAAAGACACTCACATGACCCATCACCGACCGTGGCAGACAGAGTTTGGACCCATCAAAGACCGTGACAGAGAAGCTATAGTTCTAAAGCATTAGATAAACGGTTAGCTACAAATGAATCGCAAAGAAATGGAACAAAACGATTTCCATTCAATTAGTAACAATGAATTCATCGTGTTCCACATTTTTAATCCCACAATGCATTGTGCTAACAGCTTTTCTAGTGACGCCCTATTTTTTATTTGCATTGTTGCTATTCACTCATTATTTTTAATTGTTTTAAATTCGTTTTTTTAAATTTAATATTCTTACTATCCTAATCATTGAATTAATTGACAAATAATTGTGTTTTACATATTCATGATATAGACAGCAGATCTTACGGACTATAATGTATTAATCAATTCAAAACAATAATATTCGTTAGTTTTCAAAAAACTCTAGAAAGTCTGCCGTCTCTTATACTGAATTGCTAAAATCTGTAATGGGGAGTGTCTGTAATGAGGGGTGTCTGCGATAGAGGGAGTCTGTAAATGGGGGAGGGGGCTGTCTGTAATGGGAGGCTTCGTTGCTAAGTATCTGTAATGGGATGGGGGGGGGGGGAGCCGGAAAACTTGAACTTGAAACCTACACTCACTACGATTTTCTTCGAAAACATATTTGGGTTCCATAAAAACATTGGAACAGTTATATTCATGTATATATGCTCATGTGCAACAAAAAAAGAGAGCGCAATGGAGAGACAAAAAAAGAACATATAGCTAACGCATTGAAGAAAACGATATATTCATATGATTTCTGCTGGAAAATCGTATTTTTAAAATGTTTGCTACAGACTTGGATATTCCCCGAAGAGAAAATGTTTGCCTTATACTCAGTTTTTCACTCTCTTTCTAATGATATAACTCTTATTGTGTCTGCATGAGAAAAAAATTTTCGAGGGGGTCGATATGTATAGCGATAAGTGGAACAGTAAATTAAAATTTATATAAATAAGGTTTTTATTTTTATTTTTAGATTTCTTATAACGATACATCGAACAGTAAGTTAGAATTTATTAAAATAATTCTTTCTTTTTCTTTTTAGATTATCAGCATCAATAAATCGAAGAAAAAGTATCAATGTGAAATAATAATTTTTTTTGTTTTAGATTTATTGTAAGAATAAATCAAACAGTAAGTATTGACTGAGATAAATTGGAGTGCCCAACCAGACTGGGCACCCCAAATATTAGTTTTTATTTTATTTCAAGAGTGAGGAGAGAGAATTAGGACAAGTTTATGTGGAATAATATGGGAAACGATGTTGTATACTACGGCATACGATCGTTTACGACTGTTGTAATGCTCGTCCTGGGTTATATACTATTTCCTTGGATAGAAGGACTTTGAGAAGTACAGTAAACACAATAACAGAAATGTATGGAATGTGTGAACAAATTCAGAGGAAAGCAAATGTTAGATTACAATTATGAATAACACTATGTACGACAGAAGGACATATCAAAAAAGCGATTCCAAAGCACATATAGAAGAAGAACGAGATAAACATAACGAATAGAAAAAAGACATTGCGACTATTCCTTTTATGGATAACATTAAGTACAAGGGAAGGCAGACTAATAATGTCATTCCACAGTCAGCAGCCGCGAAGGTGGGGGAGTCAAGGGGTGTACACCCCCCAATAATCAAAATTGTCAGTGTTTTCCAGCAAAAAACTCAGATTTTGTATAAATTTTACGTTTTTTCTGCAAGATTTTCTTGAAAAAACCCCTTTGCACCCCCCCCCCCCCCATATTTGATCCTTCGCGCGGCCACTGTCCACAGTACATATAAGAGAAGAAAGAGATGAAAGTACATAGAAGTATGACAGACAGAAAAAGGCATCACAATCATTTCAATCGAGGATAAACAACAACCTACACATTAGGCTAAATTGTTACATTACCCTTCTATTATTCTCACAAGAGAAAATGATCAGAAACACTGAGAAAAAAAAGAAAAACATGCTCCTATCAATTACATTAGTATTACAATTTTTTTTTGTCTCCACAACAAGAGTCCTTATTTTTATCAAATATACCACCATGGAAAAAGATGGAGTGGACTTATCGAAACTTTCGCCATTGGAACTTCAAGCGTATGGCATGAAGCATGGATCTCAATTTGAATATCGTGTAGAGTTAGCTTATCGAATTGCTTCGACTTTTAAAGCTCAACATCTTATTATTTTGGACGATGTGGCATTAACAGTATCAAAATCCGAAAGAGTAACCAGCTTTTTTGCTGTTCAGGTAATTGATTGCATTGAGAGGCCTGCAGATGATATTCAGAATGACTAAAATAAACACGTATTCATGAAAATTTCAGATAAGAGTAAGACTTAAAATCGTTTATTTCTAGTTCTTATTTCCGTATCGGTTTTAAGCCATTCATTAGAAAAAAAAGTAGATAACTGCACACTTTCTTGAAATATATTATTCAAAATAAGCTAAGTAAACAATCATTAACAACACGGGTGCCGTAGGTTGGTCGAAAACGAAATTATCGAAGGAAAAAATATCGAAACTATATATCAAAAAAGTGATTTCTCTAGTTTATTGTTTTCCTACATGTATAACGAGTAGTAAAGAGAGATGTGTAATACCTTATAAGAATGAACAATAATGGTCGAAGAGTGTGAATATGAGTTAATAGAAGACACACACCTCTGCCCAGACAGACAAGTAAACTGAAAAAACGATGTTTAAACAAAATGAGTTTCAACTGTTAAAACAGTGTGATCTGTCCTCGAAAACGCCTTTAAAGTATTTAAAAAGGTTTAGTTTTTTAACATATTTTTGACGTTTAAACGCGACTTTTGCAACATATCAAACAGTTTCGATGGGTGTGTTTTTGACTGTTAGTGTGAGTGCGGACGCTCTATTCAGCCACACCTACATACACACCTGCACCAACATCAACATCCAAACCCACTCATACCTAAATGCCCACACCAACATATACGCAAACTCACACCAACATACACCCAAACTCATTCACACCAACGCATACTGGCAAACACCCAATTCCGCCAACACCCAATTCCGCCAACACCCACACCTACATCCTCCGTGTCTTTGAAAAAGATCATTGACATAAATTAGAATTTTTGGTTGGTCGTAGAAAGGCCGCAATAAAGAATATTGAAGGGAAAAGGACGAAAAAAATATATCGAAAAGAAAAAATGTCGAAACTAGAAAAATATTGAAAAAGTGATGTCTCCAGGGTGACTGTGGGTGTGGGTGTAGGTGAAGAGAAGACTAGAATCTATACTGACACACACACTCTATACACACATCCACATCCACACCCGAATTTTCTCGTTGTCTTGATCCAATTATAACAAGAGCACATTATGATTTTTTCGATTATTAACGTATGTGATAGGTGTTTAACTGTGGTACTTTTCAGTAAAAGGGCATACGTTTGACCGAGATCAGAACCAGCGCTTTTTCAGTTGAAACGATACCTTATATGACCGCGTAAAACTTGTATCGAATGTCAGGACGTCACGAGTCGGATGCTCTAAATACATATGGGTAATATGATCTCGCTCATCGCGGAACTGGGGTCGGAACTGAAAACGACTGATCTTGCTCATGTCTAAGCAGTATCGTACCTTGAAAAAGTATAAATACGAAAATTGCTTCTAATCGTTTCTGAATATGCCTAAAAATTATAGTGTATTATGCTTTCATAAGGGAGACCAGTATATTCATTTTATTTTTTTCAAATTCAAAATGTTCGACATTATTAACAGAAATTTCACTTGTATTCTTTTAAAATGATGCATTTTAATTATTAGATTATTGATTATAAGATAATATTCTTGGTTTTTCTTTAGGGTTGTGATAGGTCTTTATTACCAGCCCTTTGGCTTGCTATGGGTTTTGAACGAGGTGTAACGATTGTTATCTATGCACCACCTAATCCAATTGAATTACGCGAGTATCTTGATATTAAACAACGTTTTGAACAACGTTTAAATAGGTCCATCCAAGTGCGTATCATCTATCAAGGTCGAGATATTCTTCCTCTCTATCAACAAGATCCAAAAGAATATACCAGTCTTTGTAAACAATGTCTTTCTTTTCTAATACCGTTCACCGACGACTTTCATATCCAAGAATTCAAACGTCATTTTGACGTAATAACAGATGATGCAACATGTTCATTGGTCTTTCCTTTTGAAACAATGGAAATTCATCGACAAGAACTAGCGAATTATACTAATGTTGTTCTGCCGGATATACCAACAATTGATAAAGCCAAACATAATTTTCTCTTGCGCAAACATGGATTTAAAGATCTGCCTCAGCTACTCGTAAGTTTTTTTTTCTACACATATAGCCCATTTCTTCTGGACTACAATGATGAAAAAAGGATTGTTTTTTTAATTAAAACGATTAGTTATAAGAGTATTTCTTATTCGAATTTTCTCATTCTTTATATTCAAAAGAAAAATCGAGCATTATAATAGAATTGAGAATAAAGATTACCTCATATTGTGACTAAGTTTAGAAATGATTTCGTAAATATCAATGAAATGCCAAGCTTAGCTCGATAATTTTTTTCTTTATTTTACAGATGGTTTTTATAGATGGATCAGTGATCGATGAATATGACAAATATATTACAGCAATGGCATGTCTATCACCTTCAGATACATTAAATATTCCAGAAAATGTGGCTCGCTTTTCGCGATCAATAGTATTGACTATGGATCGTTTACATTTTGAATATAAATACGAAAAAGTCTTTCTTAAATTGGACGCTAAAGGAGCCGGAGGTTGGTCTTGTGTTTCACCAAATGAAAATCCTCTTCTCTATGATTGGACACAAAATGTCGATGTACGTATTGCTTATTTAATTGACTACATCGAAAAAAATGTTCTCGAAGATGATCTGCCAACACATGCTGTTGTTGAAGAATTTATCGAAGCACAAACACGTCCAGGCGATATAGATGCTGATTATACAGTGTGTGGTTTTGTATTAGATTCAATCTTTTATCCAACTTCAATAAATCTATGTGGAACTGATACACGAAGTCAATATATTGAACAATGGACAGCAGCAGAAGCTAGTCAAATGGGTGATACACCTACTGATTGGCAACATATGTTTAAAATATATGCACGTATGGTTGCCATTGAAGCTGAACCATTTTCATATAGGAATGGTATTTATGCGGGTGATATTTTTGTTACTGTTAAGAATGAATATAAACAACGTGATTGGAATATTCGTCGAGGTGGACGAAGTGCACCTGAATCTTTAATTATGTTAGGTGAATCAAATTATGAAACAAAAGTAAATATATCTATTCAACAGGAATTAACTTGTGAAGAACTTTTTGATCTTTATACAAATGTTTGTGACCGACTTACGGATGCACCTAACTATATGTATCTATTTTCAACAGCTTATTGTTATTTTTGTAAATCGGCAGTACCGAATTTTCTTCGAATTAATGTTCTTGTTGATCCACAACGACTTATTGATGAAAACGGTACAAAACTACCGAAAAATAAACATAGACAAAAAGTTAATAATATTGTTAAACAAATCGTTGATGATGAATTATCGACCAATACATAAACAACTTGATTTTATCATCCATTTTCTGAACAATATTAATCAAACTTAATGTCTTAATATAAATTCAGATTTTTTTTGTATTACATTTAGATTAAATAAACCTATGACCAATTCAAAATACTTAAAGTTCGCGATTCCTATTCTATGAATACACTTGCTAGTGTCGGAATTTGGATATGGATTGGGTATAGGGATACAACAAATCCTCGTGAAGATTTGGATTTGAACACGGGTGGTGGGTGTGGGTGTGGGTGGTGGGTGTGGGTGTAGGTGTGCGTGTGGGGTGTAGGTGTGCGTGTGGGGTATGGGTGTCGGTGTGGGTGTGGGTGGGTGGGTGTATAGGGGCTAGTCGTTCTCC